AAAAAAAAAAAAAAAAAAAAAAAAAGAGGCACAGGCTTGAAGTAGTAATTGTTTATTCTCAACTATCTTTCAAACCAACATTACATTTTTAAAATAAAGCTATTTTCAAAGCAGCTGTTTCGCATCTACACATTGAAGAAGGCAAGCTATTTTTTTTTAAATCCAAAATCATACACTAGAAAATCCTAAAAATCAAGAATGTCTTAAGTGATTTTATCTTGGAAGTGTTTTTTAATATTTACTTGTCAGGAAAGTGCCACAAAATACCAAATGTATATGCATGAATAAGTATTGGTATATCAAATAACTGAAGAAAACTAAGCGAACATTTAAGAAAAAGTATTTAATCTGTTAATTAAAATTTTCAGCTGAGAAATCTGGACTCTTAAACACTGACAAATTATTGAAAAACTACACTGAAAATTCTCCCAAATTCCATGTGTGTGCAGCTACAATGTAGCTTAACTAAAAAAAAACCAAAACAGAGACTAAATAAATCGGCAGGGGGGATGTAAGCGAGCAAATGGCTGTGCGGTGCTTAGTTGCTGGCTGGGAGTTAAACCACGACAGGAACAAAGGACCTGGCCTCTACTTTCTGGATTTCAGAAAGTCCCTAGAAGTTTTACATGGCAGTATCAAGAAACATAGTAACTAATATGTTCTTCTACACAAATAAGCTCTAGACATTTCTGGCTCAGAATAGTTACTACTTACCACCGGTATTCTGCTGAAAATGTCACATTGGTATCATTCCCAGTGTAGTTCCACCTTAGAGTGAAATTTGTATTTACAACATAGACCTGAATATCCTGCGGACTCGTCAGATTAGTTTGGCCTACAAGAAAGTAACAAAGTTATATAAAGATTGGGATAAATAATTTGTACATAACTGAATAATAACTAGCTTCTGTTAAAAAAGTAGAGAGCTATAGTGAAATGAAATAATAATAAATGTAAGAGGTAAGAAAAACCAACACTACCCAAACAGCACTTCAATAGATATCTAGGAGCTGTACATCAGGTAACGCCTTTGCCTGTTTGACTACACAGCTCTTTCCTCCGTGCTTAAAGTCTTTCTCCCCACACGCCTTTAGAAAAAGTATATACAGTTATAACATTCAAGGCCTGTGTTCAGTGTCACGGTTAGATTATAAGCAGTCTGAATGCATCTAAACCAGCATTTTACTGGTTGGATGCAACATCTGGATCTCAGCTGCAAAGTGCTAGGGATTGACCTAATACTGTCCTTTCACAGTTGCAGAACAGATTGAGCACAGCAGACTTGTTTTATGTCACGTTACTGCCATAAATTCAATGTATTGAACATAAATCCCTTTCAGTGAGGTTTCATCACATAGCAGATCTTGTATCTTGCTCATAGTAATCCTGTGTTTTCTTTTACACAAAGAACATTGCGTAAAATGACTTATGGAGGGCAAGGGCTAGGTCTCAGGACACATGAGAATGTCCATACATCAAGGGAAGGACCAGACCATGAGAAGAGAAGGCTTAACAGGCAGGAAAGAAGCATGTACACTAGAATCATCTGCAGGATTGCTCTCTCTCCTCTTTATTTTCCACCTTTCAAAAATAATTATTAAAAAAACCAAAACAAAACTGCCTCATAATTACCTTATATTCCACTTCCTAAAGACAACTTCTGTACCATTAACTTTGAGATTTGCAGAATCCTAGCTGTCCCATTTGGTATATAATTCAGGTATCAGAGGACAGATGAGATTAACAATGCTGTGGGGAAGGAATTATTCTGATACTTATAAAAATGAAATTTATCTAGCTATTTATAAGGTACATTTTTGCTTTGAATTATTTTACACCAGTCTATGGCACCGCTTCAGAGCGGTAAGGCTAAAAAGTTACAATCATGGCTGAAAGTTTGAACTTAAAGTTTTCTAGTACTAGAAACTAAACCAGGCTTACAGGACAAAGGGGAACTGTGAAGGCACAGGGAATACAAGTGAACTTAGGAAATCTCAGGCAGAAGTCACTAATCTGTACCAAAACTAAGCAGCCACATCCAGATTTAGAGTTTAAACTTCATCTAAATCCTTCTGCCTGTATCCTATACTAGGTATCTTTGACAACCTAAGCTATGTACAATTTAGGCAGCACATACCTCTGTCCTCTGACTAAGAATGCACTTTCGATTTCTAACACATTAGGGAAAAAACAATAAAATCAACAAAACAATAATAATAAAAAAAAAATTACCACACACCTCTCCGACTTGACTTTCTACTTTAACCAGTTGTGTTACACTATTAATCACTTCCCAATGGCTACAACTTCTAAAAACATGTTAGTGACTATCACTCTGAAATCGCTTTTTGATGTCAGTCTAATATTTGATTATATCAGGAAGAAATCAGAACAAATACATCCTATTTCACCTGGGCAATCAAAGTCTGTTTGCACACCTAGAGGGTTATCCTGAATTTAAGAGTGACTCTTCATTGCAAAAAACTATTTCATATTTTACATGATGACCAAGTTCTCTTTATAAAAAGGACATGTGGATGGAAAAGCAATCTATAAACTGAAGCCTGCAAAATCCTTTTGGAGAATAAAGTGATATCCACAGACTAATGACTTTTGGAAATAACTCCTGAAAGCACAACACCTTAAAGGAAAATAATTCAATAAAACCCCATGGATCCCACTACAGAATTTATTTCCACAATGCATGATTTTGTTACTCTTCTAAGCTGACAGACTAAGATAAGCTCAGAGAATGCCAAACTACATTTGATCATGAGAAAACAAACAAGCAAAGGAAATAACTTTTTTTTCTTCCAGATATTTATCCAACAGATGGCTACAGTTCAGCCAAAAAGCTTATGATAACAAAGACATCTGTTTCAGATTTTGGCAAGTAATAGCAACTTTGAATATTTATATCCCTTCACAAAAAAAAATACTCACTTCATGGGAAAACATTATTTATTTTCACTTTATTTGAGAATATTAGCATTAAGTTTAAGCATCAAAAAGCCTGGAACAAAGAAGTTCCACTAGTTTTTAATAATAATATGTAATAGTTTGCTTGAAGGATAGTACCACCTACGGTAACTAATAGATTGAATGTTACAATCTTACTTAAAGTAAAATTCATTGCTTTGTGACCCAGTGGAAGATTAAGTGTTGTGATCCAGCATAACACTTCCAATTTCAGTTCTAACGAAATGTCAGCAGATTTGGTTAAAGGCCCAAAAGATGACACTCAGAAGTGCCTCTTTCTCCAAGAACTTCCTCATGCAAGGTTGAACAAGGCCGGACTCAGTCTTGACATTTACCCTTTTTTAATCCTCCTCACAAACTGCTGAAACTAGGTATTAAGAGCTGTTTTCAGCAGCACATGATAGCTTTTACAGAACTTCATTAAACAGAAACATGCTATTCAGAGACATCACCTGTAAAACTAACTTAAAACCCACTACAGGGTTAAAAGTAACTTGTACCAATTACTCAGGGAAGACCCTATAGTTTTTAGGGAATTTTCAGAAAGCTGTTCAGTTCAACAACAATGTACAAGTGTGAGCACTTGTGGCCAGTGCTCAGCAATAGTCAAAAAGGGGAAAAAAGTTAGAAATGTATATGGAATTAAGGGAGTAAAACAGAAAGCTTAATGTCATTATATAATTTCATTATAGACTTATCTTCAACACCGTGTGCAACTCTAGAGTGCCCACTCTCATAAGCAGATAGCAGAACAGAATAAAGCAGAGAAGTATGACAAGGGCAATCTAAGGCATGAAACAGCTTCTGTCCTGGGAGGAATCAGACTATGATTCTTCAGCCTGAAAAGGAGAGAGAGGGGAGGATATGACAGATCTACAGACACCTAATAATGAGTGCAATGGGGAATGCAAGTGGCTGAAGTTTGGTTGGTGTCTTCTTAACACAAAGCCAGAAGCATAAAAACATGCACCACTCTGCTCTAAGCAAACAAGCCAAACTCCTCCATCACTGAATGCTTAGTCAATCTCTGGAATTCCTTTCCCTAGGACTCTCTGAATGCATAACTCTTACCTGACTTGTGAACTCAGTCAAATACAAAGTCCCAACGCTACAGATTGCTGTAACACTATGTTGTGAAGTGTCACCATATACTTGCTTTTTTTTGTTCTTTCCTACTCCACCACCAACCGCTGCTGTAGATGAACAGTGGACTAGACGGCCTTTTGGCTTCATCTGGTATAAAACATAACAGCAAACACGTCCGTCCGTCCCCAACACTTCTTGTAGCTCTATCTCGAGCCTGATTAGGTACTTTCATAGAATCATAAAGGTTGGAAAAGACTTCCAAGATCATCAAGTCCAACCATCAGCCCAACACCACCCTACCTACTAAACCATGTCACAAAGTGACACATCTACATATTTTATCAGATGTTTGCGTAGAGAAGTCTTATGGTTTGCACCACTGCATAATCTATTTTTACAGGCCGCCAATCTCCTGAAATATTTTTGCTATCCTTACCATCAGAGATTAAGGAAAGCTTTCTGTAAACCAAAAGCAAAGAACTCCCAAATTATATTTCCTAGTAGATTCTATTGGACGTCTGGATCTTTGCAGAACAGATCCAAGTTTTCCTTACAGCAAGGATGCTTGCTTATTTGTTCATAGACCATGGATAACAAAGACTTTACAGACTGCAAAACCCAGAGTCTAACCTGTGTCTTTAAGCACATTTAGCCCTTATATTTTTTGTCTATGGATATTAAAGCACATTGTTCTTTATGTCAGACATATTTGAAAACTATATTAAACATGACTAACAATGAAGAGAAAATTGAATCACAGCAACAATTCTTTTAGTTTCCCTTTTAAGCCAAATTTCCTAGCCTTCTGAATGACTTTTTTATTGTTCTCTTTTGTATTCTCTCGAAATGGTTGAACTTGCTCGAAATAATGCACTGCAGAAAAATCACAATACTCCAGCTGATACTAACAAATGGAAGTCTAGCTTACAAGACACATGACCTAACCTTTTCATTCTAATTAGCACTGCTGTACTCCAGTAATTTTGGGGTTTTCTATATAGTACTTAAACTTCTACACATAAATTACAAGGCACTGTAATGCTGCATCTTTTTTTTTTTTTTTTCTAGAACTGATATTTAGACCATCCTTTGTCATCTTCTATTTGCCCAAGTACACACCCCTGCACTCATCCTTTTTCAATACCACTGTATTTTTTTTCCTGAAGTATTTCTCCAGTTTGTGAGGATACTTCTTGATTCTACGCTTGCTTTTCAAAACAATTGTGAGCTCCTCCCACTTAGCTATATGCATATTTAATAGGCTTATACTATTCTGTCATGCAGATTATTAGCAGGTCCTCACTTGATACAGCCTTCCCTCTTGACAGTGAACTGTAAAAAATTTTGATGAGCCGGAAAAAAATCATAACGAAGCAGTTTAACATAGATTATTTTTTCCAGCATGCTTAAGAGATTAGTATACAATATAGATTCAAAAGCAACACTAAGTGAAAAAGCATGCAGTTGGAGCTTCTCTATTCACATAGCCTTTTATTTTAGAATAGCAGAAATTCAGGTTGATTTAACAGGACATTTGTTCTCAAGACTATGGATATGCATAGGTGATCCACCCATCCACCCTTTCACATAATACTCCTTATTTCAAATAAGTGTTTTGTGTTTGCTTCCCTAAATTAATTTCTTAAATCCCAATGAACAGCAATCTAAGAATGAAGGGAACAGACTCAACAACATTTAATTACCAGAGAAATTTTGTAATTTAGCTAGAAGCCAGATATGCAAAGTAATGTCTAAAAATCAAGGCTTCATCATGGGTTTTTTTTACTAATGATTAAAAGCCAGACATTATAATTAATTCATGCTTCGTACAGCATGATGACACTTTGGTGCTGAGGACAACATTATAAGAGATCAGACTTTTATGGAAAGAAGAGTTTAAAGACAAGAAAAGCTTTTAGCACAATTGCTTATCTTCCTTCCCCTGTCAAATTTTAAGAAACTAAAATAAATACAAAACCGTTTCATAAATAGATGTTACTACTTAACTTATAATATTTTAATTAATATTTTCAATAAATGATGGCTGAAAATAGTAACTATTATATAACATTATGGAATACCAAAAGCCATTCAACAACAGAAAAAGTAGTCTTAGCAAGACAGAAATATACTCCCCCAGGAAACAGTAAAGGGGAAATCTGTTAAGAGTACATAATGGCTTGCTGCTTATCACATGAAGTATGCGGTAGAACCAATGGAAACTTTAACTCAACCTTTCAGCATAAGAAGGAAAGGAGGCCTTTTCTACGCAATATTAAAAAAAAAAATAGCCACAACCAAACACACCAAAAATGACGCAACTGTTATTGTTTCTGTGGGCAGAAAGGTGCTCTAGGGAAAACTCTTAATGGAAGTGCTGTAATACAGGAACAGCAGAAGGGTAGTACTGGTTTTGAACAGGCAGAAGGTGAGAGGTCACTGCAGCAGAGCAATTACTTCTAGCTCTAGAAGCAGTATGTGGCATGTTAGTCATTTGCTATAATATGTGCAGGTTAATCAAAGTAGCTGCATGTATCACAACGCTTCCAGTTTTGGGAGGGAATTGGGGCTGATGCACAAAGAATTCACCTACAAACCAAATAGCTGAAAGAAAACAAAGGGTCCCAGAGCTGCTTCTCTGCCTGAATCCTACCATGAATGCAAAGCGTGGACCCCTGAAAACAGCCTCTCTCTAGTCTTCTTCTGGTACGCCAAACTAGAACAATACAATCTTATACAGAATTCAAGAGTTTAGGTGGCATCAGAAGCAGCACACACACACACACTAGCCCACAGAATCACAGAATGGTTTGTGTTGGAAGGGACCTTTAAGGGTCATCTAGTCCAATCCCCCTGGAATGAGCAGGGACACCTTCCACTAGACCAGGTTGCTCAGAGCCCTATCCAACCTGACCTTGAATGTTCCCAGGAATGGGGCATCTACCACCTCTCTGGGCAGCCTGTTCCAGTGTTTCACCACGATCATCATAAAAAATTTCTTCCTTATATCTAGTCTGAATCTACCCTCCTTTAGTTTAAAACCATTACCCCTTGTCCTATGCCCTGCTAAAAACTTTGTCCCCATCTTTCTTATAAGCACCCTTGAAGTATTGAAAGGCTGCAGTAAGGCCTCCCCGCAGCCTTCTCTTCTCCAGGCTCAACACCCCCAACTCTCTTAGGCTGTCCTCACAGGAGAGATGCTCCAGCCCTCGGATCATTTTTGTGGCCTCCTCTGGACCCAACCCAGCTGGTCCATGTCTTTCCTGTGCTGAGGGCTCCAGAGCTGGACGCAGCGCTCCAGATGGGGTCTCACCAGAGCAGAGTAGATGGCTATAGCATTTCCATTATCCAAGCTAGCTTAGCCCATATACTCTCTGTTGCATGTCACGATATCCTATAAATATGCAGGAAATGAATTTACAGCTTATCTGGGCTGCACAATACTTTCCCCTTGAAAAAGGTTTTGTGCAGTAGTTGTTTCTTGCTGCTTAAGGATGTAAGAAGAGGCACATGTTACTATCTCCTGCGAGGTAAAATCCTCACCCTGCACTTTTACTTCTCTCATTTTCTTTATTTATACTTTAGGCTCTGTCAGGCTAGACTGAGGTATCTTTCAAACAAATCAATACGATTCAAAACCTGTTTGCCCCACGCTCAAGCTACAGCCCCTGCAACTCACAGAGCGCAAGTGAGCCTGAAGCAGACGAGATGAAGATAGCTACTTAACCGTGGAGTAAAACCCAAGGCACTCGACGGAAATGGAGCCCCGCTTACCCACGCCGGCACATCTACCCCGGCCCAGGGGCTGGATGC